TGACTGTGCTTCACAGATTCATGCTCAGTTGGTTGCAGCTGTAGCTGGAGGACAGCAAATCCAGCTGTCCAGTGGCCAACAAATCCAGCTACAAGGAACGCAGCATATTCAGCTGCCAGGAGGACAGCAAATTCAACTTCAGGCTGGCCAACAGATTCAGCTACAAGGTGGCCAACAAATCCAGATCCAGACCATAGAGGCCATGTCGCCTTCTGAGCAGCAGGAGTCTCCCAGGGAGGCAGAGCGGAGGCCCGCCACTGTCGCAACTGTCCTCCAACCAGCCAAGAAGCGTAAGGTCGATGTCCCACTGGCTGTGTCCTATGCCGTTCCACAGGGGCAGCAGGTGGCTACAGTTCTCGCAATCCCTCAGGGGCAGCAGCAGAGCTATGTGTCCCTGCGACCAGATTTGCTCACTGTTGACAGTGCTCAACTGTACAGCACTACCGGAACAATCACAGGTCCCACAGGTGAGACGTGGACCATCCCGGTGTACTCCACTCCACAGCAGCAGGGTGTAACTCACATTGCTATACCGCAGGAGACATATAGCACAATGCAAGTTACTGCCACCAACGGCAAGGACAAAATGTCCCCCAGCTCCTCATCAAGGTCTGCAGATGTGCAGTCGGCCTCTGCTGCCACACAGGAAGAAATAGTGCAGACCCTGTTCCCTGCACAGTTCATGAACGGGAACATTCACATCCCTGTGGCGGTGCAGACTGTTGGAGGGACTTACAACACCACACAGTCGGTACACATATGGGATCCAAATCAACAGCAGAGCCAAGTCGAAGAGGGACAAGAGCAGCAGCTCCATCTGCAGGTTTGAAAAAACTTTTCTCTTTACAGCCATTCTGTAGACGTCGAGCAACATGACTGGAAGGGAGTTTATCTGATGATTTGCATTTTTTTCCACATAAGATTTGTATAAACAGCTTTAAAATAATCTTGATGATGTATCCATATAGTCAGGAAATGCCAAGAACGGTTCCTGAACTCTGTCCAATCAGAGCTGATGATAGTTTTTGAATAGTTTCAGGTCTGATTTGGTCTCAGTCCGGGTGTTGTTGCTGACTTTACACTACCGCTGTTCAAATTCCCATTACAGTTTGTTTTTTATTTTATTATTTGTACATAATTATACTATTATTTGGCTTATTTTCATCATCCAGACTGTTTATCTTTCTTGCCCTCTTTTCTTGAAAGTATTAGAATCTCTGAATTTTTTTATCTTGTGTGTTTTTTTACAGGGTCAAGTAGAGACTGAGGCTCATGTTGAACCACATGCAGAGATTCTGTTTCCGGTCTCTCTAAAGCCAGAGGAGGGCCTGGAGGTGTGGCGCCTTTGGGTGAAACGAAAAAACGCTGAGCTGAACAAGCAGGAAAAGACTAAGCTTGCACCCATAGGACGTAAGTAAACCTGCTACAGTTGGATTTGACGTTTGTCAGATTACATTAATCTGTTTTAACGTGAGCTTAATGAAACAACTGGAGGCCATAACATTCCAGTTTTGTTTTGTTAGTTTTTTTGATGTTAGCTATTCATGTAATACATTATTTATCCTGCTTGAAACAGAGATATAAGAAGGTAAACTTTGTACTGCTAATATAAACTAAGCCTTGTCTCATTTCTCTGTGACTGTGTTCAGGTCGCCAGCCGCTGCGTTTTCAGGAAGACTTGGTGTCCAGTGCTGTGGCTGAGCTAAACTTGGGCCTTTCCCTGATGACTCAGGAGGCTCGAGGATCAGAGGAGGAACAATTTGCACCTGATGTTTTATACTATGTGTTCCTGTGTATACAGAAGGTTAGTGTCCCCACATTCACACATGAAGGCCTCAGAAGACTTTCTGGAAATACTTCTGACTGTGTCTATTTGTTTTTTTTATAGTACCTGTCTGAAAATGGGCGTGTGGATGACATTTTCTCTGATCCATATTATACACGTTTTTGTGAGAGTTTACACAAAATCCTGTGTGACTGGAAACCCAGTGTCCATCCTTTAGGTAAGGCAGAACCAGCGTTGACTATTTTATTCCGTTGTTTTACAGAAAGCGTGACTTATTGTCCATTTTGATCTCAGGTTATGTCATTCCAAGTCACGTCACCGAGGAGATGCTGTGGGAGTGTAAACAGCTTGGTGCACATTCGCCATCCACATTGCTCACGACTCTAATGTATTTCAACACTAAGTGAGTATCCACAACTCAGCGCCGCATAACCTGAAATTGTTCCTGTTAAAGACAGACGTGTAGTTTGGATGGAAATGCTGAATTTTGTAAAATAATTGTTCCAGGTATTTCCGCCTGATAACTCCTGAACAGCACATGAAAGTAGCTTTCTCGAAGGTCTTAAGACACGCAAGGAAGAACCCCACAAATGCCAAGGACAAAGCAACCAGTATTCGCCTTCTCAAAACACAAGGTCCACACAGTGCCGGACAGAAAGGTGCTCAGTTACATTCCTGTCCAAGTTTTACAACAAATCAGTCATTGCTGTTTCTGACCTGATGTGTGCGACGCCTCTTTCAGGAACCGATGACATGTATGAGGAGCAGATCGAGGATCCTGACAATCCTCTTCGCTGTCCCATTAAACTTTACGACTTTTACCTCTTTAAATGGTGAGTGGCAGATGACCATTAAAGCCCCTCTTGACTGGATCATTCTTCGGTTTTTGAAAATGTGACTCCCTTCTTCTTTTTCAGCCCTCAAAGCGTCAAAGGCCGTAACGATGCTTACTACATGACTCCAGAGCCTGTCGTCGCACCAAACAGCCCGATGTGGTACTCGTCTCAGCCCCTCACAAGTCAGCAAGTGGAGCACACGTTGGCTCGCATCATCGTGGTCCGAGAGATCCAGGACATCATTAACGCTGGTCCAGAGAACGTGAGCTAAAGTGAGACTGGACTCCAGGTTGTTGACTATGCAGTACCCATCCTGACTATCAACCTCAATAGCCATCAAATAAAGTGGAACAACTTCTGAAACCATCTTTTTCTTCTGAGGAGAGTATCATGATTGCACTCATCAGATTCATAGATTTTTCTTTTTCTCTTCTTGTAATTTCCATTTTAAACCGATGGGGTGGACTGTACCTTTGTAAGCCATCGCCTCTGTAACTTTTGAACCTGCGAGCGAGCAAGTCTCACCGCTGCTGGGCCACGAGTGATTATCTCCTGGGCTGCAGCTGAGCAGAGGTGGAACATTTTCCTGTAGAAGTCAGTCTTATCAGTATGATACAAAGATATTTAATCTTTCACTTCTTAACCTCACAGACCGTTAACCATGTCTTACTTCTCTTCGAGGTCCCACTACGATACGTTGCATCTCAACAGACGATTACAGGGACCACTGCTCCAAATTCTTTTGTATACTGACTGCATTTTGGACCATGTATTGATATGTTCAAAGCTGAAAAACCTGTGCCTGTTTTTTCAAAAGTGACATCATAATTTATGCTTGTGGATCGTTTGAGTGAGTTGAACCTCAACTATTCACAAGGTCAAGTGCTATATTGTAGTTATTCAGGAGATTGGAAATATCTTTTCTCAGGTCAAAGTTAGCAACTGAAACACCCTTCAAGGATTTTTGCCAACGTATTTCTCCATGTATGTGTGTATAGTAGATTATTAAACAGGATATGCAGATGGAAACGTCTTTGTATCGAGAGTCATGTCAGGCAATTCAGAAATGAAATTGGCATCATTTGCTACAACGTGATTATCCTGAACCTCGTGAAATGATGCACAGTTAAATTATGCTGACAAATAGTATGGCTTCGTTTGTTTATGAATAAAACACTTTGTATAGCGTTGTACACACAGGCTACATGCCACATCTCATTTTTCCACAAAGAACCTTCTGGGCTTCATAACGTTGCACATCAGCGCTGCACTAACCCAGTTTGCAATTTAATTTCCCATTTAATTTAAATGGTTAGCATTAATGATGCACGATAACATTTCTGGCTGATAGCGATATTAAGATAACCGATATTACTGATGTTGATATTTTTCTTCACACCGAAAAGTGAGTATAAGTAAGCACTGTGAGAACGTGAAAACTATTCAAAAGAAGCCCAAACCACATTAGACCACATACAGTCGTGACTCGATAGTCTGACTCTTAACAATTCGAAA